CGCGCAACCCTCTGCGGAGATCGTGCGTGTCGAGTGCGCGAAATGCAGGCGAGAGTGCGATTCACTATAATACTGGTCGCGAGCTGAACAGCGAGAGTACGCTAAACATCTACAGTGCCTGCTGTGTGTCACCTCATGCTACTTTGTCACGTTTTTCTCTGAGACAGTCACTTCGTCAATGACAAACATAGTGGTTGGTTAACTACATCCTAGAAAAGCTGTGTCCTGGAGTGAAGGAAACGTTACCTCTGATCGTATATCGCTGGACGCATCTCCTCTGACAGGTCACTGCTTTGACACACTTGTTGCGTACCTGCCTCGGCGCTTTTCTGTCTTCATTCCGGCTCGTTTTTTTCAGTGAGCTTTCCTGGAGGCGTGCACGCTGCTTCTCCCCTTACCAGCAGCTCAAATGCTCATGACGATGAGCTGGGCGGTCACCGCTTGGCCGCCGGTGGGGGGGTTTGGGAGGCCACATCACCCACAGAGACCCACGCACTGCCTCAACTTACTCGAACACACACATACACAGACTCATATACACACGGACATAGATACACACACAGAGACCCTCACACTACCTCAACTCACTCGACTTAAGCACTTCACACTGAACACTTAACAGATAAGTCACACTCTGACTTCCTACGTGATGAAAAATGCTTCAGGGCCACTCGTCGTCTAGCTTTTTTTATCCGAGAGTTCACTTGAGGCCTCCGATGGCAATCGCCATTCTTAGTCCTTCATAAGTTGCTCGCCTTCAGGTACTGAACACGCTGCTTCCAGCTCCAACCAGAAGGCAGGGATTTGAATAAATCGGGATGATGACATCAAGCTAGGTATATTCACCCGGCAGACTCTTTGACCACATCAAGCGACAACACAAATGTGAACATTGAGAAACAATTGCTTTGACAAAGGCCGTGTGTGCCTCATCCGAAGGACTTCTAGGGCTTCGAAAACTAAAAAGCACATGACATGTCGATTGGAGACCTCAAAACGTCGCAAGAGTTGGGAAAAGAAAAAACGATTGAATGCAGAAGGGAAGGAACAACTCAATTTTTTAAATACAGGCCTTAAGGAATAAACCAAGAAACAGGAAAGAAGGAACGAACAAGTGCAGTATATAACATATTTTTTCTGGTTCACACGTCGTAAGGGGTAGCTGGCGAGCCAAACCCCTTTGGCACTCCTGTAAGCCGTAAGGCGTAAGGTCAGTAAGGGCGTGGAACCCAAGACACCAGCAGAGCATGTCCTCCATTTTGTTTCGATGAAAACAGCACTCAAACTGTTATCATTTTTGTCTCATTTTTACTTTCACAGCTCGGCAGGAGCTATCTCCATCAAACTGCCAGCCACTGCCTCAGACCGATGACTTTCAGTCCAAAGCCATTTAGTTTAGATATTTATTTGAAGGTGCATGCTTTTGGCTGTTTGAGGTTATCTCCAAAACTATCTCCGGGATCGAGCCCTGCATTGAGTGCTTCCAGATCTCACTTGAACATTGAGGCCGACCACTGCAGACTGTCTTCCCGATAGGCTTTCCAAGATGTTTTGAGTGGCTCATGAGCTTTGTAGGTGCTTGAGTTCCTGGGCATTTTGACCCGGAGATTCGGCAACATTACGCGGGCGTGTACTCCTTAGAGCCTTAGAGTTTCAAATAGCTCAGGATGTCCTTTGCAATTGAACACATCAAAGATGCACTGTCACTTGGAGGTTCCGGGCAATGAAGCATGCTGCTCAATGCACCTCCCGGTCTAGAAAGGCAAGGAAGCATTACTCGTTTTTTTTCTTGGGCCTTCTATTTCTCTTTCTCAGGAACCTTGCAAGAACTTCCATCCAACGAAAGTGTACCGCATGTTGTGACACTACGTTTAGTAGCAGGTAATTACTGGACATGCGCATAAATGCAAATGTTTCTGTCAAAGCAAAGGCTTCGCCGAGTGCTTCAGAGCCACTCAGCAAGTCAGAGTTCACTTGGCGTGGCGCACAGACAGCATAGTTTTGATATGTTTTGATAGTTTTGGCTTTCGATTGTCATCACCCAAAGATAGGAAATTAGCACGCGCAGCTGACAAGCCCAACAAGGTGTGTGACATCTTTCCTCCGTCATGGGGACTACAGCTTGGCTCGCAAGCTATTTGTTACTGGACTCAGAAGAAACCGGAATACCGCAACATTGCAACTAGTAGTGCCCTTGTTATTAGTAGCGATGCCCTTGTTACTAGTAGCTAATGCTCCTTCATTTCGACTCTTAAGTGTCGGCCAAGGCAGCGATTGGAGGGGATGTAAGGCTAGTTGCCCTGGGTCCAGACATGGAGGCCTCATATCTGGCAAGCTTCAAAGCTGCTAATGACTCCTTATGCAAGTGGCTGACTCCTTGCATTCAGGCCCTGCTTTCCCTGCAGCAGCTGCGGCAGCAACTTCTTGACGATTTCCAAAAAGAGGAATTGGAGGCAGGTTCCAAAGAGATTGATTGAACAGAATGTTGACTGGAACATATCAGAGCCCAGCCTTTTGGTGTCCAGGAGCTTTTGAGGAGCCAACTTGTGGAGGAGGCACTGTCACTAATGACAAGCTGCAGGGCAAATTTGTTGGAGTGGGACATCAAACAGCGAGAAACAGGCCAACTTGACTACAAAGTAAATAAGCAGTGCTGCGCCATTCGACGGAGGAGCCTCACAAACTTGACTTTGGTGGAATCAAGCTTTGTTCTTGCCCTTTGTTTCTAGTAGCTTCTTGTTACTAGTAGTATGGCCAGGAACTACTAATAGCTTCTTGCTCCTAGTAGCGACTCCCTTTGTTACCAATAGCTTTAGAACTTCACCCGGCAGGTTTCAAAGAAGCATTTCGTCACAGTTGCAAAGCATTTGGGCATCGAAGCATTTCAGGCTTGCACAGTTCTCGTGGACAGCTGTAATGACTGTGTATGTTTCATAAGCAAGGACAGGGGGAGGCAACTTTCCTTGAGACACAAGGTCTAAGGGCAGTAGTTAGTTGGTTAGCTATGGAACAAGCTTTTGTAGAAGCAAAGCACGTCAAGTAGATTTGTTTGCTTTCTTGCGTTGTTCTGAGTTGAACTGCAGGCTCAACATGTCTTCCAGCTGATTGACAGAGGAGATGGCTTCGCAGATCTGACCGACATCATGGAAGCGCTGATCTCCAAGAAGCCCCGACTTCTTTGGCGAGATCTTCGGCACTGCTTACTCGCAAGGTTCGCGAGTATCTCGGAGGCTTTCTTTACCACAGAGACCAGAGAGGTGTGCGAAGGAGCTGAGACCGAAAGCTTTCAAGCCGAGAGACCAAGAGACTTGAAAGAAGCAGAGAGCGAAGGAAAGCAAGCCTTGAAAGCTGAAAGCTTTGCCTTTCGAGCCGAGCTGGAGTTTACCCAGTTCACCAAGAGGATAGAAAGCTTGGGCATTGGAGAGGAGGATGCTCGCGCATATTTTAGTCTCCTGCTTGAAGACAATGAGGAAAAGTGCGGAGCATCGTGCTTTTCTGGTGTTGACGGTTGCGTTGAAAAGCTGAGACGTTTGGTCCAATCGGCTGTACCTCCAACAAGCATGGAAGACTTTTGGCACCGCGTCGCAGCTGAATGGCCTGACGTTTTGGAAGCGGCTCGAAAGACAAAGATGGCAATCTCCTCTCAGAGATTAGGAGATCTCCTGTCGGAGCTTTTGCGTCGTCAAAAAGTTCCTGACAGGCTGAAGAGTCTAGCCTCATCATCTTCATCTGGGTTTCAATTGCTAAGCTTGGATTTGGAGGCCTTCAAGGCTATTGCCCTTCAGATTGATGTCTCTCAGGAAGATGCCCAAGGTCTGTTTTACAGTATAGCTCGTTCAAGTCGGGTGCCAGAGCCAGTGGAACCAGTCACTCCTCAAGAAACAGGAATTGATATTTGCGCACAGCATTTGGGTGAACCTCAGATCTATTTGGAAGATTTTGCAGAGCAACTGATTCTGTGGACTGAAAGTGATCGGCGCAGACCCCGGGAGAAAGTCCGGCAATTGGTGGCTCCTGCACGTGCAGCCATCTCGGCTTTGAAAGCAGAATTGCTCCCAGAACCCAAAGAGGCAAATGAGCCGAAGGAAGAAGTGAAGGCAGTGAAAGACAATGAAGTGAAGGTAGTGAAGCTCCCAAGAATTCCAAAGCTCAAGAAGCGACCCAAGCTTCCTTGGTGTACCTACTACCATTTGCGTCCCAATCCAGTCCCTCTTGCCCTAAGCTGACACGGACATTGTTGAGTCTTGTTGCTTTGCGCAAGCTTGGATTTGGTGGTTCCTGCTGAGCCTGGAACCAGTTTTCCATGCTTTCTTCAGATTTTGTGCCCTTCAGACAAAGTGTCTCACTGCAGATATTGAATCATTTTCCTCGAAGCCCGGTGACAACTGCTGGTGCTGAAAGCATGTGTACAGGAATATGAATGCAAGTTTGAATGCAAGTGCATCCTCTGAAGAGACGCCGTCTTGTTTTTCCGAGCAGGAATTGCTTGTTGCGATGACAGGCGAGCAAGAACATGCGCCTTCGCACTGAACAGGATTAGTAAGTAAGGTTTAAGGCATTACTGGCATTACTTGCTACTAGTAACTAGTAGCTTCTAGCTACTACTAGTATTGCCCTTGTTACTAGTAGTAATGCCCTTGTTAACAGTAGCGATGCCCTTATTACTAAGGTTTAAGGCATTGGGTGACACAAGGGATTTGACGTGTCGCCACAGCAACCTTGTGCAGAAGCCAATCAAGCTCAACGTCGGACATTTGGCATGTGCACTTCACTCAGCTGTCCGCTTTTCTTTTTTGCTCTCTAGAGCTTGCTGAGCTTGCTGGTTCCACGCGCCCAGGTGGTGAAGAATGTGGGTGTGACCATCACCTTGTACTCCTGAAATTTCCGGAAGGGCTCGACCTTTCGACTTCGTTTGGACTTTTTGAGCACTCTTGTATCGGCTCCAAAGTTAGAGGCGGTTGACTTCATGCCGGCGTTGGAAATTAACGTGTGGCATATAGGCATAGCCATGATTTCACCAGGCTTCCAGTTCTTTCGATGATGGAAATGCCAACATTGTACAGGAGAGTTTTGTACGTGGATTGAGTCAATTGCGCGGCATCGGCTGAGCAAGATCTCAACTACAAGACCGAAGCATTCTAGATCTGCCACCAGACCTGTGAATTGTGGGAAGGGAAGGGAATGTTTGTTGAGTCTAGTTGAAGGGCGACCTAGAATGCAGTATATAGTGTGCAGTCTAGTTTGGGACGTATGCCTGCATGTGACAACCAAAGACCCGATTGCCACCGGCAAAACGGTTCGGCTGTTCAGAGATCATGGTAGCATGCTAGATCATGCTAGCTATACTTTCAAGATGTTTCAAGAAAGCAGTTTTGGCACCTGGAGGGTTTTGGACCAAGCATTGAACACTTGGTGCATAGTATCTTCGACAATGAGATGGTTTTGTTATGTCGGAAGGGGCATTACATTGTTCTTGGTTTTTTGATACCCTGTGCTTCATTCTGATTCATACTCACCAACAATTCCGTGTTTTTAAAGCCATGCCATGTTCAGCACTCGCAAATGGCGCGGACTTTGTGAGCAAGCTGCGCCGCCGTTTTCTCACCGTGCAACAGGTACCCAAGAAAGCTGAGGTCTCTGAACCTCCGATCGTTTTCTTTGATTTTGATTTCACCTTGACGGTTGTGCATGTCTTCAAATCACTTGCTGGCTGGGTGGATGCGCAAGTTTGTATGTTGGCCATGCGTGGATTGGTGGTCTCCGAGCCCCATGCCTTGACGGAACGGGGACAACTGCGGCGCCTCTCGGAACTGGGACCGGCATGGATTGAGCAAGCCTTTGGCGGTTTCAGTCGGGTCACAGCGATTCGAAAACTGCTGGACGGTCTCGTCTCGAGTGGCTGCAGAATCATCTTAGTCACCAGAGGATTTGTAGGCGTAGCGCGAAAGTGCTTGCAGGAAGTGGGGTTGTTGGATCCTTTTGAGGCCCTTTATGGAAACATTGGTGTGGCCTATGGGACCCGAACAGCATATGATGCCGAAACGGAGCTGAATTGGAGCTGCAAGCATGAGGAAATCGATCGCCTTTGGAGCTTGCTTGGGAAGTGGAAGGAAGGAGAATGGGACTCCAAAACAGAGATTGTCCATAGATACCAGCACCAACATGCACTGACACGGGAGCAGGCAAAGATGAACAAACATGGGACATGTTTTGCTTTGATTGTCAAGTGCGAAGTACGGAACGTGCCAAGCACACTTTTCTCTTGAATCTGTAGTGTGACAAAGATTTCATGACGCTGGCCTCTTCTCCTTTTTTTCCCAGCCTGGACAGGTGCTGTTTGTGGATGACGATTCACAGGAGTTGGCTCCTTTGCGGCATTCAGCCTTGACGGTGCATGCCAAAGGCAACGGTATGGGTGTCAAAGACATGATGGAAATACTTCACCTGCTAGGGCTAAGTGAGGAGCCCTGGGCTGCTGGATGCTATGACTTTTGGCACGCACTTCGAGATCCTTTGGCAAGCAAGCCCTTTGCAATAACAATTTTCAACCGGAAGCACATTCCAATCCGGGCTTCACGAAACATTGCGATGCTTGAAGCAGAGTTTGCTAGCCGAAAAAGCTCCCTGCGACGCTTCACACTTTTGATGCGGGAACCTTTGTTATTCTTGTCAATTGCCCAAGACGCTTATGTGAAGCATGTCAGCCTCACTGGCGACACCCAATTTACCTTAAAGACTCTTGCCCCAGTGATTCAAGGTGTAGAGGAGAAGTTTGGTGTGGGACCTCTACTTTCTCAAGGATCTGACAACTCATTTGGTGATTTGCAGCGGCTAAAATCTCCAAGTCCTGAAGAGTGCGAGACACTGGCCATTTCACTGCATCAAAACTCTTCGGTGCCAGCAAGTGCCATCGGGAATCACCTTTACGAAGAGCCGTTGAGCAAGCCCAAGCCTGAAGAACCAGTGAAGACTCTGACATCATTGGTGCGAATGTTTCAGCAAACCCTCCTGGGGCTTTGTCCCATCACACTTGCTACTGCTGGAAGGCACAGAAACACGATTTGCTGTCACGAGGTTCAATCCAGCCCTGAAGAAGCTGTGTGGTGCCGCTACAGGAAAATCAAACATATTGGAGCTGGGCATTTCGGTGAAGTCTTTGAAGCCAAGGAGTTGTGCACCGGTCGACAAGTGGCCATCAAGCATTTAGAACGCTTGGATCCGGAGGAAGAAGGTCAAGGTGATGAGGTTAGCGTCTTACGTGCTTTGGCTCATCCTAATTTACTTCGCATTTTCGAAGTGGTCAAGTTTCCTGGAGAAGTTCTGATTGTCACTGAACTGGCAGAAAAGGGGACGCTTTCCACCTATGCTGCTCGGGCCGCCGACGTTGCAAATGTGGAGGGAGATGAGATGCCACAACCAGCTCCGTGGATTGCAGGAGCCGCGTATGGCGTATGTCGAAGTGTTGGAATGGGCACTAGCCTTGAAGAGTTTGGGTCCGACATTTGACACAAGAAGCAACGCCAGTCATGTGGGGCCGGAGCTTCTTATTTACATTCATGAAGTGAGCAGGGACATTCATGATTCATAATTATGGTTCCAGGGGCAATCAACTTCTGTGAATCTCAAGTTTTATTCCTTTGTCAACAAAAAGAATGCAATCGAGAAAGCCAATCCACAAGTGGACTCCACAAAAAAGCACAGTACAGCATCTCTCTCTCTATATATATCTACATATATAGATACAAATCCAAAGAATAAACACACAGAATTGCAGTTTGCCGACAGATTGCGCACAACGGGATGAGATTATTCAAAGACTGTCCATTCTCGCAGCTCATTCTCTAGACCTTGCCACCTATATAGCATAGCTTCAATAAGAATGGACGGCTTCTCCAACATACTTTTGTTGCCACTATTGTCCTCCACCTTCTGAATACCCGCAGCATGGCAAACCAGTTGTTGCTCTCTTACCGTGCTTGATTGAGTTTCCAGCCTAGGGAGCGACACAAACCCGTCCAGAAATTTCCATCAGATGGCGCTCATCACAGGACTTCGATGTAAGAACTGAAACGAAGACTTTTGGCCCATTAGGTTCTTCTAAAGTTTCTAAAAGATCTTGCAGCACTTCTGAGTGGAATTGGAGATCAAGGCAACTTTCATGTCATGAAGTCGTCCATTGACGAGCTCAAAGTGACCGTTGGCGATTTGTTCCATCTTGGGAGTTGCATTCTTATCCCCTCTCGTACCTTTCCTTGGCCTTGTCAAAAGGACGCATCTTCTGTATCACGGCGGTTTGCAGATACAGAGAAACATGCTTTGATCTCATGCAGAAACGGACCGATTGCCTGTATTTCAACGTTTAGATCGCATTCCAATGATATCCACAGTCTCCATAATTATCTCTGAATTCACAAATGAATGAAAGCCAGTCAAGATTGGCGCCTCAGCAACTTCAGGGAATTGGACTAGATAAGTACTCAACAGACCTCACCCTCATCAGGATTGGCCATTCATGAACCCCGAGGTTCTGAACAATGGCAGCAGGTGGACACACACAATGACAGAATTGTTGTATAGACTGGTGTAACGAACCAGTCTTGATGCCAAGATGGAGGAAGAACCTGGGCAACCGTTTGCACAAATGATCGATGTCCTCCAATCAAAGTGGAACGTTAATCCATCCGAAAGGAATATTACAGCCTCTCCTTGCGAGAGGGAAGACAGTTAGTGAAGCAATGAAGGAAATGGTCCTGTGCTCAGCGTGGACAACTGAGTGTCCTCAGCCATAACTGATGTTTCAACGCACGATGAACCTGCCTTGAGTCCTCAGTATTGTCGCTGCGATGATAGCCTGGCTATATAGGTAGACCAGATATTTTGACTGGGCCAGGAAGACTCCTGCAGCCTGGAGCTGTCTCTGCATAAAGAACGGGTTTCATCATTATATTAAGAGATGTTTGCATGTTTGTATGTACAGCCCATATATACTCCGCTATAGGTACTGCAGACACGTGACTCTTGACGTATTTTGGCTCAAGGGGAAAAGGCGTTCCGTAACGTCGAAACCTCGTTTTCATGGTAGCGCGTGAGCCCGGTGAGAGCGAAAGGGACAAAGCGCTGCGCATCAAGAAAGAGAGACATAGTAAGGTAGAGACCTCAGAGGAGGAGGATCAAGAGATCCCGGGAGCGGCCGCTTCGGCCGCCCCGAGTAGGAAAGAAGAGAAGGAGGAGGAGCCTTTGCCAGCCACATCAGCGGCGGAACCAGCCGCAAACACCACTCCGGCGGCTGTAGAAACTGCCGAAACAACATCAGCGGTTGAAGGAACCGCGGAAACAAAAGAAGAGGAAACAAAAGAAGAGACCACAAAAGAGAAAGAAGGAGGAGAAGAGGAAAAGCCTGAGCAAGACCCCATAGTAGAGCCAGAGGCTGAAGCGGCTGATCCAGCCGCACAGCCATCCTCATCTGGCCGAGTGATCGCCGACTTCCAAACCTCCCCAGAAGGTGTCAAAACAGGTTGGGAGGTTCGTGGCATTCACGCCAAATATACCCCAGCCAAAGTTGATCCCAAAGCACCTTGGAGGGTAAAGAAGAACATTTGGGGACAGGTCAAGAAGCATCCAGAGCCACAATCCGGATTTCGACTTCGAAGCAAGACTTCGCTTCAGTACCGGAGGCTGAAGGACCTGGTCAGGCTGGAGAAGAAGAAGGGTGTCATCACAGAGGATCTGAGGAGGCGCATCAAAGAGTTCGGAAAGGGGCGCACTCCACAAGAGATCAAAGAAGAGCGGGAAGAGCAGAAGGTCCGCAATCAAGAGAAGCGGACCAAGAAAAGGAAGACCTCAGAAGCGGCTGATCCAGCCGAGGAGGAGGAGGTCGAAGAAGAAGAAGAGTCGGTGAGCCATCCAAGTCCGGTTCGACAGCCTCGAACACCGGACGGGCCACCGCCGGCTAAGCGACCGCAAACCCGCGACACCCAGCGGGGACGGGCGGTCTGGGGGCGTGCACTGGAGTTGAACCTCCGCATCGTCGCCCTAGCCAACGAACGGGCCCAGCGATTGACGATAGAAAATTGGAAATTAGAGAGCCCGTTCCAAGTGCGAAAGTTTGCGGCCGACGAACTTTGCGAGCAACGGAATCTCAAGGGCACCGTTGCATTGGCCGCCATTCGCGAATTGTGGAAGACCCCCAACGAACAAGGAAAAAGAGGATCCAACGAGGCCTGTAGTTCTTGTGACGAACGGCGGCAGGCACAGCTGCCGGTGGTGAAGGACTACATCAAGCGGCGAGGACTTAAGGGACCTGCCGTTCTTGGATCGAGCGCCAAGTCCAAAGCGGCGCCGGCTGTGAGCCTGACACCTGGGCCGAAAGTGAAGGCCAAATCGAAGGCCGGACCAAAAGGAAAGGCCAAACCATCCGCCGCACCAAAAGTAGCGGCTGAAGCGAAGGCCACAACTGTGGGTCGTCGCCCGGAAGAACTCACACGGACTACTGTTGAAGTCCGTGGAGTGCCAAAACCTTCCGATCCTTGACCGGGCGAACCGCCCGCGACTGCCGCTGGAAAAGGAGTGAGCGGCAGCAGCAGCAGGGGTTGAGGGCAGGAAACCATGGAACAACAGATCCAACAATTGAGTGAAATGGTACTTCAACTCCAACAGAACCAAGCGAGGTTGGAGCAAGAGAATCAAGTGTTGAGGGAGTCTCAAGGTGGGGTATCAATGCTAGCTTCAGCTGTAGGAGAATTGGCTAAAAGCCTTGAGAGGAAAGATGATAGGAAGAAGTCCCAAATCCTCATGGACACCAAAGGGTTAGGACGCCCCGAGAGTTTTGGGAATGTTGAAGGGGATTTTCGGAAATGGGCCAGGAGCATTGATAACCTGTTCATAACTACTTTTGGGAGAGAGTTCATTGAAGTCCTGGAGTATATTTTGGAGCAGGAAGACGCGATTGAAATGAGTGCTATGGAGTCCGCATTTGGGACTGGAACCATAGCAGCCATAGATGATCTAGAGGATAAAGCTGACCAAATTCATCGCGTGCTCCTGACCCTGACCTCGGGTGAAACAGAGGATTTGATGGTAGGAGCTTCAAATGGGTTTGAAGCATATCGGCGAGTTCACCGCCGTTGGGATCCCCGAACCTCGGGACGGAAACGCAATATACTTCGAGCGATTCTCCAACCGGAGAGAGTCAAGACATGGGCCGCGGTGAGGCCAGCGATCGAACAGCTCGAAGAGCTCATCAGGCGGTACGAGTCCCGGAGGAGTGCCGCAGGGATTAGGGAAACCCTATCGGACGACATCAAGTCCGCTTCATTGGAGATGCTGGTACCCCCAGATCTGGAGAAACATCTTTTGTTGAACAAGAGTAGATTGACAACCTATTCGTTGATCAAGCAAGAGATTGAACTTGTCATTGAAACATCCCTCACATCAAAGTCATCTGTTCCAAAACCAGGTTCATCAAGTTCAAGTTACCAAGGACCTCAACCCATGGACGTCGATTCGATCGGACAATGGATCGCAAGCCTGGTCAAAGGAAAAGGTAAAGGAAAAGGTAAACAGGCCAAAGGTGATGGAAAGAAAGGCTCAAGCAAAGGGGGTTCAAGTAAAGGCTCAAACCCGGCTCAAGATATTACCTGCTATAATTGCGGTAAGAAAGGACACCGAGCGGCCGATTTCTGGAGCAAGAAACGGCCGGATGGAAAAGGCGATAAGTGGTCAGGTTCAGGCAAAGGAGATAAGAGTGGTAAAGGTGGCAAAGGCAATAAAGGCAAAGGTGGAAAAAGCGGCAAAGGTAAAGCCGCAGGAAGTATGGAAGAGATGGACGAACCGGATGATGGCATTGAGCCAGCTCCGGAAGCCGATGTCGGCATGCTCATGGTAGACTTGAGTGGAATTGGAATGGCGTCATCCGCCGAAGAATGGATGAAGTTTAACCTGGACACTGGAGCAGCCCAGACAGCCATCCCGAATGGCTGGGAGGATCGAGTGGTTGTCAGTGAAGGCAACGGAGTTGTGTTCAAGACTGCATCAGGAGAGTTGGTGCCCAGTCAGGGCATTGGAACCTTTGAAGGGTTCGACGAGAGCGGCAACAAATGCCGTGTGAAAGGTTCAATGGCTGATGTTCACAAGCCATTGATTTCAGCATCCAAGTGCTTAGGCTTTGGAAGGATTGCAGTTCTCGATGCAAAAGGCGGAAACTTGATTCCGCAAGGGTCCAAAGTTGGAAAGGCTGTCCAGGCGATCCTGGAGAAAGCGAACGCTGCAGAGCAGCGGAGTTGGATCCCTGTGTATCAGGAGCAGGGAGTGTACAACTTCTACTTGAGGAAGCCAGGGTATAAACCGACAAAGGAATGCTGTGGCATTGCAGAGTTGAACGCCGCAGGAGAAAGAGGAGATGCCTCTATGGATTCAGGCCGACCTGGTCCAGAGGGG